CGCTATCTGATTATCTGTGTGAATCTGATTGATTAGATGATTCTGGTTGCACCTTTCATATGCCACCATTTAAACACCTTTTTTCAAACTATCAAGAGATTTATAATGCTATTGTGTCCATGGCTAATGAAAAGAAATGCAAAGTTTTTGAAATTGGAGATATGTGTCTTAAATTTGATTCTCAATCTATTGTGAGCTTAAAGAATGTTAGATTATTAATTTATTTGGGGTTGGCCCAAACATATTAATAATAATTTGATACCGACCTAGCAACCCATTTAATCAAGCCCATCCCATATTCCTAAAAATTAAGCTTGCCTTAATTAGCTCCTAAATCTCTATTATATTATATTGAGGGTTTCCCCTTTATACTATGATTATATTTTTCCATAGTGTTAAAGAATACATTACATATATTTTTATAAATTCATTTAAAATAATACATTAAATATAATTTACAAAATCGTCAACAATTTCATTTGACCCCGTGCGTGGCAGAGGTTAAAATACTAGTATATATGTAAAGTTGAGTGTGTTGGTTGTGGGGTTGATATGTGGCATGCCACATGTGCATCCACATGTGCACTTAATAATGAGGTGGAGACATTTCATTGCTTCATTAAACTTCTTTTTTAAAAGATCTTTTAATATATTTTATTGTATTATATTAAATGAATATTATTTTTTAGCATAAAAAACATTACTTTGATTGTATTTTGTATAAAACTTTAACATTCAATAACAATTATATAAACATATATTTCATCATTATAAAATTTACTCGGTATTTTAAATATGCATATTGATTGTAAAGTTTTAAAGAAGAGTATGTATAAGACTCTTTATTATTAATTTAAAAAATTTTCACTTTCAGAAAAATAAAAAAAACATTTCACCTTCAAAGATATTAAATTGTTTTTGGCATTTTTATGTTTTATTTAATGTAATATTTTTTAAATAAAATAGTTATAGGATTTTTAGTGCATGTACAACAATATTTAAAGTATACTTTTTTATTTAAAAATACTCCGTATATCTTAAAGTGAAAAAATATTCATTTAAAAAAAATAAAATTATATTTATAGAATGTCAAAAGTTTATAATGTATATGAGCCAGTGCGAAGCACGGGGTTAACACTAGTTTGTATAAAACTCCACCCAACCATGATCCACATGTGAAAGTAATAGATGAAGAGGCGATTTTACCAAACTTAATGTGTATTAAAAGCTACTTCATTTTTCTGTTCTTATACGAAGTATATAGATAAATTTCAGTATTTTCTATGGATAATTTACCTAAATAGGACTAAAACATAATGACTTTCTCAATATTGGATCATATGTTTTTATTTCTCAATGTAGGACTATTGGTCATTATTTATTAGTCATTATTCAACTAGATGTCCAGCATTACTTGGACATTATTCTTCTCACTACTCATTATTAAGTCCTATTTAGAGAATAAAAAAGTTTAAGTCCTACATTCAGAAATGACTTATGTTTTAGTCCTATTCAGTGCAAATTTCACATTTTCTAACGCATATTACAACATACATGCATCTCCTCTTTGTGTTTTTAATTATGAGCAACTTGGAGACTTAAGAAGTTTAACACCGGAATAATTAGAATGGGTTTCCTATAAAGATTGACTACGTAGTTCTGCTATTGTTGTTTTATACGGAGTACTACAGATTGAGCGTGCTTGAAAAATATAAAGACATGAGGGTATTTCATGTTTCCAACTCGATTAACTTGTATGTGATTTTTTTAGTTCTCCTATTTCTTAGCATGTTTGATTTTTTTCATTATCTTATTGATTTCTATATTCTTTAACATGTTATCAATTCTTTAGTTCCCTTTTTTAAAGGTAAAAAAGGCCAAGAGTTTTGTGAGTCTTATGAAAGCAACTCAACAGTTGTGGGTGCCCCCAAGTTAAGATATTTACTCTTTTAGTTTTTTCATGCGTTTGAAATTTCGAGATGAAATATTAACAGAATGAGGTTTACCGTAAAATTCCAGGAATGCATGCTTTAATCCTGAAAGATTTTATGTCGATGCTTGTGGAAATGTGTTGTATTATTTGCTGATTCAACCTCTCCTCTATTGGCTTCCTTCCTCTAGTAGTAATTTTTTTGAATAATATGCTCTTTATTTGTGATTGAAGGTTGTCATTATTTGTTGTGATTTAAATATGAGTTGTCGTCTATCGTGGTAGGTACTGTCTTTGCGCAGACATGCATAGCCTTCTTCAACACCATTCTCCATCTTTGTTTTCTTTAAGATCAGTCTTCAGTTTTCACGTTCGCTTTATTTTACTGTGCCAATATGACTTACACTTTAAGTCTACTTCATATGCTCTTTCAATCTTGATGTTAGAGGTCCATCTCACTTTTGCAAGTGTGCATTGACATATTCTCTTGAATGTGAAAGATTTCCGTCTCCTCACATTCCTTCTAGGCACAGTTCTTCAACAAAGAGAAGGGTTCGATTCCTCTAAGTTTTAGAATAGAGTGGAGATGAGGATGCAGAGTTCTTGGTGTAGATATGGCAGCCTTGGGCTAGGGATCTCACCATGTTATGCTTTTGTACAAAAGTGACTCACAGATGATCTCAAATATTTAGGGAACGAAGAACAAGGCTATGCCATGGATAAATTCCGAGAAGAGTAATGTCATATACGTATGTAGTATATGTTTTTATTTCTACATATTTATAGTTGGATATAAGAGTTTCTGCAATTTAAAACTCTAGGTCTGACAATGTTTTGGAGGGATACACATATTAAGGATGCATCAGGGGACTTCAAGAAATGTGTGGATAGTTAGGCGGGACAAGTTGAAATAGACGTAGAAGTTGATTTATATATAAAGATAAATGAAATCGGGGAACTTTTGCATTTTCTGTACCTTTTGTTTCTCCATTTCTTAAAGTTTACATTTTTTGTTTCTTCGTTTCTTCATTTGATTTCATATCAGAATTGTCAAATTTCAGGGACTTACAGGTTGATCAATATACAAAGATAAAAGAAATTAGGGAACTTGCACATTTTTTGTATCTTTTGTTTCTCCACCTACTGTTGATACTTTGCTAATAAAATATTTCTTTAGCAAGGTGTAATTAGTTTATCAGTATGAAAGTTATTTTCAAAAATTTGAGTAGAGATCCACAACTATTAGGAATTAATTTTGGACAACCAATTTTAGGTTAACTTTAAATTAAATTTGAAAAGCAAATGATTTTTTATATCAGTGGACTGAATAAATGATTTGAGTGATTAAGTGTTTGATTGGTAAGTAATTGGTGTATCTCTTCGGTTCTTCAAGGATTTAAAACTTTAGAAATCACTCTAAATAAGACTAAAACATAGGAAGAAATACCAAAATAGGACTTTCATGTTTTTTTCCCGAAATAGGACTTTGCACTGTGGTAATGTGGTAGTGTACATGTGCACATTACTATACTTTTTTGGTAATGTATTTGACTATGTTTGATAATGTAAGTCCTATTTCGTGAATAAAAACATGGAAGTCCTATTTTGGTATATTTTCAATGTTTTAGTCCTACTTTGGTCTTTCTCCCTTAAAACTTAGACTAGAGGTGGAGGGAAAGGTCTAAAGAAGCTAAATTTGTTTCTATGAGGATGCCAAAATAGAAACCATGATTTGTTGTAACCAGAAACTTGAACCATATTTGGCATATGTTTTGTTATAGATTAACATACATACCCCTTTTGGATTTGTAGTTGTTTAAACTTAAAATATCCCTATTAAATTTTTTGGGGTGACAAACATACCTCTATTGAATTGACAAAAATATACATTGACCAAAGAACAAACTTCGTTGCATGTTGTCTTCCCCATTAATCATTTAGTGTTTCACACGATTGATCTTTAATAACTATTTAATGGTGACAAATTGACAAGGATTGAAAGCCTTTTAACTTTTGATGAAAAAAACACTATATTGGACGACATGTAAAAGATTGTGTATAAAAACTATATATAGATTTTATGATTTTTTTCTATTTTATTTTTATTAGACACTGTTACTTGATGCAAAATATTCTCTAAATGGATAACAACTTATTTTTAAATTCGTAATGTTGTTACTTTACATTATTTAAATTAGTATTTTTACCGTGCATCGCACGTGTAAAAATCTAGTTTAACTAAACCCAAGAAAAAGTAACCTCTAAAAAAGAACTCATAGAAGTGATTTTTTAGTCATTTTCCATATTTTTGAAATGAACCCTTATTTTCATTTTTTCCCATGTCTCGGATGTGTTTGTACTATGGGTGGACACGGTACGGTTCCGGGACGATTCCGGTTCCGGAACAGCCGGTTCCGGTACCGCCACCCCTTGGTACCGGTACCGGTACCGGATCGGCCGGTACCGGTTCCGGTATCGGCGGTTCCGGTTCCGGTACCGTTTCGGCCACCCATAATTTCTTTTTTTTTTTTGCTTTTTTATTAAATTTTTAAAGTGTAGAATTGTAAATGTGTAATTGTTAAAAGAAAGGATGAAATAAAAAACTCTAAAAATGAAATTAATAAAGGAAAGAATGAAATAAAAAATAAAAATAAAAAAATAATAATTACGGTACCGGAACCGGTACCGAAAAATGGGCACCAGAACCGGTACCGGAGTGGGCGGTACCGGTACCGGTTCCCGGAACTGGTGGACCGTCCCGGCTGATGGTAACGGTACCGGTACCGGCGGTACCGTTTCCGGTCACGGTACCGGTACGACCGTACCGGTACCGTGTCCACCCCTAGTTTGTACTGCCAACACGGCAACACCATCGGACATTGGAGTTGAATTGGACTTCCTGCCCGGTCCGGCGCCGGGTTATTTTGCTCCATTAGACCCGCATAGGAAAATAGCACGAACCAAAGGACCCAAAGACTCCACAGCCCGCGCCGGAGTTGACCGTTTGGTTTCCGGCTCCCACCTACCTATTAGGCCCATTTCTTCAGAGATTCGAATCTGGGAAGAGTCGACATCAAACTTGCGTTTCACGGAGCAGTTACAATTGTGTGTTCTCTATGCATTCTTTTCGAAGAGATCAACCACTTTCAGTTCAATTTCAAACGAGCTGAAAGGAACCCTAGAATTTTGGGGAGAAATGGAGCAGTACCTGGGAAGAACCGTGAAAAAGAAGTTTAAACGGTACGGAGTGTTCACTGGTACTGTGAAATCGTATGATTCTGAGAGTGAATTCTTCAAGGTTGTTTATGAAGACGGAGATTCCGAGGAGCTTGACCTTTCCGAGCTAGTTCCTCTTCTGGTTGGGTCTCAATCTGCTGAAGCCGACCTCACCCGGAAGTCGTCTTGTTTTGGTAGAAAGCCTCTGAAAAGGCCTCGTGTGGAGCAGGAGCAGGCCGGGAATGCAGCGGCAACTGATAGTGACGAGGAACTTAATTCTGATGACTTCAGTGCGTGCTTTGAAAAAACTCGTCTGGAAAATGGAGGTTTGGATTTTAATTTGTCTCTTAACCATCAAATTTGCTTGAATTTAGATTTGTATGATGGCTTGTATTCAAATAAAGATAATTTCAGTAAGGGGTTGGATTTAAACAAAGTGGTAGAATTAAATACTCAGGATGATTTAGGTAAAGTTAAAATGAAGTCGAAGAGAACTAATGGTATCAATTTAAAGTTGGATAAGAATGCGAGAATTAACATTAATATTGAGAAAAATGATTCAATGGGGCTTGTACCTAAGCTTACTGAACCAAAACCACATTCTTTTTATTTGAATTTAGGATTGGATGAAGAGACTAAGAACTTAGACACTGAATTGAATGTGTCATTGGCTAGAACTGCCGATTCAAGTTATGAAGAAACTCAAATAAATGGGAATGGCCCACATGCCGAGGCACTTTGTGGCAAGAGTGCAGAAAAAACTCCACGGAATCTGTGTGGTGGTTTGGTTGAGAATAGATTTGAGGATGGGGCTTTAGAGGGAGTTGACATTGACTTTGCAGATGTGGCAACTCCCAGAGATGACTTTGTAATCAGTGTATCATCATGTGGGCAAAAAGGAAGACATTGTAGGAAGAGGGGAATGCTTTCCAATGCTCCCCATGGTATGATAGATACAATGTTGAGGAGAAGCACTCGTAGAGCAAGTGAGTCTTCCTCATCTCAACATAAAATTCCTCAAGCAGTAGTGGAAGATGCAGTCAGTGATTCTCCATCATCTCCTGCTCTCAGTGCCGGTTCGGATGAGAAAATTACAATATCTGGTCATGAAGTCTTTGAGGACCAAAATGTTCTCTCCCCAAAGCCTGAGCTGCCACCTTCTTCAAATAGTTTGGATTTAATTGGATTGTCTGTGCAGGATGTCTTCTCCTTGTATGCCTTTTTGCGTTCATTTAGTTCAGTATTGTTTTTAAGTCCCTTCGAGCTGGCGAACTTTGTGGCATCCATTAAATGCAGCACGCCTACTGTGTTATTTGATTCTATTCACCTTTCTCTTCTACAAATGCTAAGGAAGCACTTGGAGACTCTCTCTAGTGAAGGTTCTCAGCTTGCTTCTAAATGTCTTAGGTATTTATCTCCATTTTCTGCTAATTTATATTCAGTTTGTATTTAATATTTTTAATATTCGGCACTTAGACTATTGAACTTTAAATGCTGCAATCAGGTCTCTTAACTGGGATTTGCTAGACATGATCACTTGGCCTATCTTCATGGTTGAGTATTTGCTTATGCATAGTTCAGGATTGAAATCTGGTTTTGATATTTGTTGCCTAAAACTATTTGAGTGTGACTACTACAAGCAACCAACTTCCGTGAAGATCGAGATATTACGTTGCCTTTGCGATGATGTGATGGAAATTGAGATCATAAGGGCAGAGCTTAATAAGAGAACATTGATGAGAGAGTCAAACAGTGATCTTTATCAAAATTTGAGGTTTGACACTTTGAAGAGAAGAAGGGCAACAACGGATGTTGCAACTGGTTCATGCTTGACAGAGGAGCTGGGAGATGAAAGTGTTGATTGGAACAGTGATGAGTGCTACCTTTGTAAAATGGACGGGAACTTAATATGCTGTGATGGTTGCCCTGCTGCTTTCCATTCCAAGTGTGTGGGTATTGCCAACAGTCTTCTGCCAGAGGGAGATTGGTTCTGCCCTGAATGTGTCATTGATAGAAAGTTTCCTTTTATAAAAATGGGGAATTCAGTTAGAGGAGCTGAATTGTTGGGAATGGATGCTTATGGCCGGCTGTACTTTAACTGCTGTAATTATCTTTTGGTGTAAGTTTCTTCCTTTATAAAGTTTTGATGTTAAGAGCTTTAGATGCATTCACTAGTCATTACTACTAGCTTTATTGACCATTTAGCAATTTTTATGATAAAGTGACTGGACACCCTCTTTATGATTTTTGTATCTAGTTTTGATGGGTTATCCATTTGAATGAATCACTATTATAATCATTAAGTTGGGCTAAATTCTAATTAATTATGGATTACAACATGAGTTGCGATGCAAATACCTTTTTTTCCTTATAATTTGCACTACCTACATCGTATTTTTTGCAACTCTTTTTTTGCTATGATAGGTCTACCTTACGCATACCCTATTAACATTAGTGCATACCCTTCACATTGTCTTGCCAAATTATTGGCTTCCCTCGCCATTTTCTCTTACCACGTGTAATTGAGGAATAAATGAAATTGTTGAATAATATGATTCAATGATTCGTCAATCTAAACAACATTAGTCAGCTTGGTAGTAACCTTTTATTAAAAATAATTGCATTGACAGAGCAAGTAAAAAGTTACTTGATTACCTGCGTGATAATGTGATGATGATTTCTTAATATTTCCTCAAAGTTATGTCACGTTTTTTTATTTTTCATCTTTTCGTTTTTGCTTCTTGCCTTTGGGTGCTTTTGCAAACAAAGTTTTACTGCATTTACAACACACGTCGTGTTATTTCCACCATCTTTGATGGATCCAAAGATTCACTATTTTTAGCTTTGGGGTATGATGGAATAAAGCAAAATTACTCTTTAAACAATCTATGCTTCTCTATAGGGAAGTAACAGTTAGTAAATGCCTTTCGAAGATCATCATGGGTCATCTAGAAATAGCCACTCTATGTTTTAAACATAGTGGTCACGATGTGTACACCCAACCCCCTTACCCTGGGCAGGAGCCTTTGAGGCACTGGGGTAGTGTTGTTGTAAGAAGCACATTGTTGTGTGTCTCGAAATCTTGGTTTGGAGGATACTCAATTACTCATTGATTTCCACTGTTGCTACATTTTGATCAAAGGATACAATTCCCTTATTTATCATCTTTGTGAAGTGTTCTACTTTTCTTCACTGGCAGTGATGAATTCTTCAAGTTCCATCTACAGTATCTGGTTTGCACAATATACTAAGTTTTGTTTATTGGTTTTGATGCCACCATTACCTTATCTGAACACTGAAGTATAGTAATATACCAATGTGCTTAAGCCTCTTTTAGATAGTATAACTACTAGGCCGACATACAACTTCTAGGAGGATGAACTGATGCTAGAATTTGACAGGACTAAGTGGTAATTATATTGCTCTTTTGTGGTTAGGGAGTTACATATGTCTAGGGCTTATTTTATTTGGCATCTTGCCTCGGTATCATAATATGACAACGAAACCATTTGGGACCCTACAATGCTTTGTTGGGCCAGGGGTAGGGGGTTGGGGAGCAACAAACACCCAAGGCGGCTGGGGTAAGGGGTGGAGGTAGGATCCAACCCTAGGCCTAGCAGAGCACAATAGGCCCCCAAATGGCCTAGGTGTCATAATGAGACTGAGGGCTGGTGTCGAAAGCATCTAATCTTGAGTATGCCTTTTTAATAAACAAGGTACCATCAGATTTTCTCTTTTGCTCATTTGGTGTTACTCGTAGTTGTTTTTCATGTTGAATAATGTGTAATGTATATGCAAATGGTATATACAGTTTGTTTGTGTTCCCAAACACTGTTGCTTCTCTTTTTAAAACGCAACTCTTCAAAGCACTTTCTTACATGATTAATGTATCATCTGCTTCATATGAACCTCCATTTCTTTCATCATTTTGCATGGTGTGTTTTGGTAGTTTCACTTTAAATCAACTTCTCTTATATGAGCTTACTTTCTATAGATATCTCACTTAGTGAGCTGTCTGACTTTGTTTGCTAACCCACTCAAATTATGGCTGGCTCTTTTCTACCTTGTTTATCATCTAGTTGTGTGTGTAAATCACCATGCACTCTTTATTTTTTGTGTTTCTCTGTATTTTATTTTTGCTAGTCCTCTCTTTTATAATTGGCGAATCACAATGGGCTTGAAGTTTTATTTTCCATTCTTGCAGGTCAGATTCATGGGATGATGAGTCATCATTCAAGTACTACCACATAAATGATTTGCCTGCAGTTTTGGGGGCACTTAAATCATCTGAAAGTGTTTACCACACTTTGCTGACTTCAATTTCCAGACTTTGGGATGTATCCTCTGTCGTTGAAGGGGTGAACTGTACTGATACTCCTTCAATTGCAATGCAATATGCCTATAATAGGTTTGGTGAGAGTAACCCTGTGACAATGCCAAGGATCCCTTCATGTTCTGCTGATCTAGGATGTGAGAAGTCAGTGACTGCCAACCCTTTGTCGAAGATGGACATTCTTAGGGGGGCTGCCAATGTGTCTCAAGCATGCATAAGCAATCAAAATACTAAGGGAAGTGGGATGCCAGATGATACTGAACTTTCACGAAAGCTTGAGAATGGACAAAACCATTTGCTTGAGGAGGCACATCTTAATTCACCCATAAGCATAGATGACCGACCAATGAAACTAAGTTTTGGAGCTCCAATGTCACACTATCAGTGCTTAGACTCTTACATGAACTTTTATAGCTTTGCTCGAATATCATCAGCAGTAGTTGAGCATTTAGCCCGTAAACCATCAGACAATAAGTCTACCGAAAATGTTTTAAGATCAGAGGAGGAAGTAATTTCAGCTCAGCTGAAAGCTATATCAAAAAAATCTACTGACTTCTATTGGCCAAATATTAAACAATTAAATGTTGGTGCCAGGAAAGAAAAATGTGGATGGTGTTACTCTTGCAGAGTTCCTGAATGTGAACGGGACTGCTTGTTTTTAATGAATGACACTGGCCCAGACCAAGAATTTTTTTCAAGTGAGGCATTAGGTGTTAGTTCACAAAAATATATGGAAGGCCATCTTGGTGATGTCATATGCCATATCCTTTGCATTGAAAATCGTCTACATGGGCTCTTGTTGGGTTCTTGGTTAAATTCAAAGTACCCACAAATCTGGAAGAAAAGTGTTCTCAAAGCAGCTGATGTTCCATCACTAAGTATTTTATTGCTTAAGGTGAGGATTAATGAATATATATATATATATATATATATATATATATATATATATATATATATATATATATATATATATATATATATATAAATAAAGGACACATGGAAAATTCATTCTCTCCTTCCCTTTTTCTTTTACCTTTTTCAGTGTTCCGTCTGTATCATTTGACTTAGTTCCCCTAGGCATGGTTTTGGTTCTGAAATACTAACATATTAGGAGGCTCTCTAGTGGCATTAGTTGGCTGCCACCAGCTAGATAGCACAAGCATTATAATAAGAAGTAATATCAAATATAGAAAATAAGATTTATGTTACATATAATATATAAATTGATTACAGTACATGCAAAGAACACACTGTTATATAGGTGTAAAAGAGGCTAGGAATGTTCAAGGAAGGCGTTGTGCTAGCTGTGTGTTTGTTTGAATGAGTTGTAAGGTGTGCTCTATACTAATACATCAACTATCATCATCATCATTATTGTAAGCACCTGAATCCCACCTAGTTGGGTTGGTAGCATAAGTATATAGTTTCAATTAGTTTTATAAATCTAATTAACACTCTAAATTCATGAAGAAAACAGTGGAAATAGTTTTTACACTGGATGCCCTTCCTTTTGCTTCATAAGGAGTATGAGACATGCATCTTTATATTGATTACAAAAAAATAATTAGAGGGTTTAGCATTTATATTTCTAGGAAACAGAAAACATTTTACTTTTAAAAATCAGGACCTAAAATTTAAGCTTTTAAGGTTTAAGTTTTTTCACATCATTTTAGCATGTTAGTTTTATACTCCTTTATTAAGGACCTCTTTTCTCTTCCCCTAACATAAGCTGTATTTTTTACTTTTGTTTTTGTTTGTTTTGTTTTTTGGGACAACTCAAGTAGTTTCCTGACACTGTTACTTTTCTTGCCAGTTAGAGTCAAACCTTCGTGAGCTAGCGCTTTCAGCAGACTGGTTTAAACATGTGGACTCTTTAGATATACTGGGGTCTGCATGTCATGTTGTGATCAGATCTTTGCGGGTGTCTACTAGACATGTCATCACGAAAAAGGTCAGGCGTTCAGAACTGGAGTCAAATCCATCTTCAAATGCTGTAAGTGGATTGCGCATATTGTGGTGGAGGGGTGGTAGACTCTCTCGCCACATTTTTAGTTGGAAAGTTTTGCCCCGTTCATTGGCTTGCAAAGCTGCTCGACAAGGTTAGGATGATTGTTTACCCCTTTTTATATGTGGCCTGATTGATCTTTTCAATTAAGTAGGTTTTACTAATAAATTGATACATTGAAGTGCAGGTGGATGTAAGAAGATACCAGGCATATTATATCCGGATGGTTCAGATTTTGCCAAGAAAAGTAAGTCTCTGGTCTGGAGAGCTGCTGTCGAGGCATCTAGGAGCGTGGAGCAGCTTGCTCTTCTGGTATATTCACATGTATTTGTTATTTCAGTAATTAATTGACTTAAAATATTTTGGATGAAATGTTGATGTCCCTTGTACAGATTAAAGATTTGTTTATTGTAGGCAAATGCATACATACATATTGCTGATTATTTGTTCCATGAGGAAAACAGTAATATTTCTCTATTTTCCAATACAAACACTTCAATTATCCTTTTATTCATTGAATCAGGAGTAATTACTGAATAGTTATAAATTGTGCAATCTGATTACATTTTTGGGATTATCAGTTTTACTTATGTTATTAGGTGAGAGATCTTGATGCAAATATAAGATGGAATGACATTGAGAATGCAAATATTCTATCAATGATTGACAAGGAATCTCAAAAGTCAAACAGGTTCTTCAAAAAGGTTATAATTCGGCGGAAGTGCTCTAAGGGACCAGTTGTTAAATATCTTCTCGATTTTGGCAAAAGAAGGTTTATCCCTGACGTTGTTATGAAATACGGATCCAAGGTTGAAGACTCATCAAGTGAAAAGAAAAGGTATTGGCTGGAGGAAACCTATGTTCCATTGCACCTCCTGAAAAATTTTGAGGAAAAAAGAATTGCTCGCATTTCTAGTAAGATGACTTCTCCCAAGCTGCGGGAGCCTAAAGGAATAATAAAGAAACCATTCAAGAACAAGGGATTCTCGTATCTTTTCTCAAAAGCAGAGAAAGCTGAGAATTATCAATGTGGGCACTGTAATAAGGGAGTACTCATCAGGTATATCAACATTACTGTTGTCTTTGCACTTGTTACGTGTGCTCAAGCATCTAGCTAGTTAGCCTTATACAAGAACTATTTTAGTTTTAATATGTGTAAAGGAATAATAACATGAAAAGAACTCACAGTGTGCATTTCAATTATTGAATGTAAATGTCAAGGAACGAACTCAACCAAAAGCTCAAGCTTTTGGTTATGGCGCAGGAAATGTTTCTTATATTCTAACACGCCCCCTCACGTGCAGACGTTTTCCGAGCCTTGCACGTGAAACCTTAATTTTTTTTTTAAAAAAACTGAGTGGCGCCGAGTTTCGAATCCGTGACCTCCTAGTCAACAAGGCTCCGATACCATGTTAAGGAACCAACTCAACCAAAAGCTCAAGCTTTTGGTTATGGCCCAGGAAATGTTTCTTATATTCTAACAGTAAAGATTAGAAAAAACAATACATTGGAGTATCTATCTATGTGTATACCCATTACAACCCTAATTATCCTAGCTGCAATCTCTAGGATGCTGAAATTGAATGTAGAACACAAGGAATATGACAATCACACAAAACTACTAATAAATCTAATTTTGCGCTTCTGCAACCTTCCTAAACTCGATGCTTGAATACTCTATTTTCACTTAAAAAGCGTTTTCAATCAATCCTAGCATGTTTTTCTTTTAGTTTTGCATGAATTATTCATAGGGTATTACCACTTCTTTTTCCATGAATGCCTTCATTCCAATGCATTTGTCCACTTCTTGTTTGACACATGAACCAAGGAGAGGAATATACGGGTTGGGGTGTTACAAGTTTGCCCTTACTTTTTAATGGGATGAGTAAGAGTTGAGTTTTATTAGGGAAAAAGATTCAAGGAAAGCATCCTTAAAGTTACTCTAAAAGGAAAGTGGATAAATACGTTGGGACGACCAAAAAAGGAGATGAACACATTGGGATGGAGAGAGTAATTTGTTACGGTCTCGAGAAAGCTACTCTGGATGGAGAAGGAGAGCTTCGAATCAAGCTGTAAGCTGAACAAGAATTGAAGATTAGAAAACTGAGAGATAAACAAGAGAGATGATAGTTGAGAAGAAGATTTGATTATTTCATTTCTTGATCCATCACAGAGAGGGGGGAAGGGATATTTATATAGCTAATTGGCCTAAAGACCGTACCCAATTCCTACCCTCTAACCTAGTAACCTCCTGTATCATACTTCCCCCCTTAAGAGTTAAGACAACCTTGTCCTCAAGGCTGAAGTCTTGGAAACTTGCTCGTGCTATCCTCAGGCCACCCCAGTAGCATCCTTGGCTAGCAAGCACCCTCAATGATGTTGGCAAGGAGTCCACACTGAGACTTTGCTTCAAGGATGGAGTGTTAGATAGTACTAGAAGCGGATTTCTTTGTAGGCTGCGCTACTTTGGCTTGAACTTGAAGGTGACCAGAATACTTGGAACTGAAACTTTCCATTACTCCTTGAAACCAAGAAGGGTTAGGCATTCTTCCTCCAAATGCCTTCAACAGCAGCAGTTTGTAAGTCATTCCATGTAGATGAAACTTCGGCTGCTTGTCCCTTTCTTCTCTTTTTTGTTGAGATCTACCCACTAGTCCAACACTTGACTCTCCAAAGGAATTAAACAAGCATTCTGTAACAGCCATAGAGATATCCCTCCAATGCCGTATAAGGACGAGCCAATGCCGGTGACAAAGTGCATAAATCCTTCGCTTTAATAGCCAAAAGCTCTTCTGTTTTGCTTCTCTCAAAACCTGACTTTTGTCCAAGTATTTAAAAGGCATATGTTTGGAATTGCATACTGTGCTCAGCCACTGCTCATCCAACACCATGTCATTGTTAGGAATCAGAGATCAGAGGCGGTCAAGCGGAAGCGAACAAACACACACACACACAAATAGCAGAAAATAAGAACACGAGATTTAACGTGGTTCGGTCAGTAACCTACTCCACGGGTTGCAACTAGGGTTTATCTTTTATTAGGTGCTCACAGATTATAGTTACATGATTGGGTATTTATAAGATATAAATTAGGGTTAACAACTTGCTAAACAAGAAACAACAAATGGGCCCTTTAATTAATAACTAAAACCGGCCCCCCATATTTCTTCCCTTTAACCGACCAGGCTTAAAGCCCAAAGCTCTAAAGCCTTCACTGAATAACCCAACAATCTCCCACTTGAAGGATTTCGCATAGACACAAATGCCATCCAAGTAAACCCATCATGAGTAACACATTAGTCTTCACTGTCAAGTCCTCCAAGCCTCCAGTTCCCAAGAACAAGCTAAGACTCCAGTTATATCCCCTAGTTGCAACCACCCCCTTCATTAATAACCTGAAAGGACAGTTGAAGCTCCACCGAGCTCCAACCCAGTCGTGACTGTATCCGCCACCTGTCTCAACCGGCTTGCACAATCCACCGGGTCCAGAGATACACCGAGGACCATTACCACTCTCCAAATCCAGCAAACTATTCCCAGGAGAGATTTTAACGTTCGGATTCTTGGTCCTCAAAACCCAACGACGTTTCAGAACTGTACTCGGAACACGTCCCATGCTCCCACTATCACGAAACCCCTGACCTGATTCAGACCTCCGAACACACTCAACTGTCATCCCCAAAACTCCAAGATTCACGTTTGCAAAATGAAC